TGGGAGAATAAAATGAATAAATAGGACTATCATTTATTCATTCATGTTCGAAAGAATGTCACATGTGTATTAAATATTGTTAGGAAATTGTACGAAGAGGGTAATTTCTTTGACAACGCGCAAGTGTCGGGAGCCGATCGATTTTCGCCGATTTCGCGCGTAGCCCGATTATCAGTTAAGAAAATTACAAGCGTTCCGATAATTTTTCTACACATTAACGCACGTCACAGGGTCATCTTTCACACGAGACTGAGTGCACCCTTAAGGTCTACTTGTCACGCGTTTATTTATAACGAGCTTATACGGATCGTCAAACAACGTCAAAATACTCCAACGGAGAACAAAGTTAAAAAATCGAGTTTATAAAAGTTCTTTTAATATGTGAAAATACAGAATGAAATGTGAGTTTAAGTATTCATTTTATTAATTCGATAATATTGAAGTGAATAACTGATGGATGGAAGAAATTAAATTTCCAAGGGATGATTTCACCCTTTTTCGGAATTTGAACGGGTAATATTGGAAGAAGTCTCTGCGAAACGGAGGTACAGGCATCTGGTTCTCGAGCACTCAAGTTCGTAAAGGAACCGGAGTGAGTGCCGGCGAGGAGGGATGCCTTCCACGTCGTTGGTTCCCTCTCGTTGGTAATTCAGATACCGAAGCAAACGTTCTTCTGACACCTGCGCTGCCGTTGCCTCGATACGCGAACCTGAATTCGTGAAGAGAAACTGGGGAGCCGGAGAACAATAAGCGATTTTCTTTAAACCCGTGCAACCCCTTTGTCTCTTAAAATTGAAGCCTTTTTAGCGAGAGGCGGTGTTTCAAAGTGATTAAATTTTCTTTGTACGCGTTTTGTAGGTCACTGGTTCCATCCACCCCCACGTTTTCATCAGGACTTTCCGGGTAGGTATTATTCTAGTTAGATTAGTCAGAGGGAGAGACGATTTCGGAAGTACTTTGCTCGGACTTTTGTTCGGAGAGTTGTAGGAACAAGAACCGAGGAGGCGATAATTTTTATGTACTTTGCCGGGTGATGATTGATTCAACCCAGATATCGAATTTTCCTATAAATAGAAGAGCTTCTAAAAACTCGGCAGCCGCATCGATTCACCGCCGACTGCTTTAATCTTCGTCACGCTTTGATCCTCTAATTCCTGTATCTTTTTTTACAGCGAGCTCTTGAAACTACAATTATTTTTAACGAAGCCCGTATATTACTGCACTATTAACATTCTGTTTCATTTACGTTTTTCGCTTTCTGTATTTATTCCATCAATTTGCATTTACTTAATCATCCGTTTTTGTGAAAAACATCTCTGAACTGCCTCCCTCATTAAAGCAGGAGGCCTGCAATTTAGACAACCTTGGATGAGTCTACTAGCAGGCCTGTAGTAACAGAGCAAACAATGCTCTTCTTTACATAGACAGTTCAGTATTTAAGAATTCTGTGCGTCATCCAGTTTCCCGTACAATGTCGACAGAAATTTACAATCTATAATGGGAAGGAACATAACCATCCGGTGGGTGAACTTCCGACACCCCCCTAATCCGATGGGTCGGCAGGCTATTTGAAAGTTGGGCCTGCCAGGGAGCCAACGTTCCAGACCCTTTCGAGGAAAGGGTCCCTCGGCAAGGACCTCGGGAAGGGTCTCCGTAAATTCTCCTCCCTCCCCCAGCGAATCCGCCCCTCGGTCGGCAGACTTCGGCTTCGTCGTGAACACGTGCAGGGAGGTACGATTTTAGTGTTTGTGCGTGCGTGCACCGTGAAGGAGGAACTGCCGAGCCGATAGAGTGCAACAGACGCACGCATACCGACACGCATACGTATGTGTATGCTATATGTGCATCTCCGTAGCGCACCGTTTACAAGTATTAAAAAATTTACACGGGAGTAAGTAACACTAGTGAGACAATTCTTAAACTTCCGTGCGTTCAAAGATCATTTTCTTTTCGTTATGAAAGCAAAATCTCTTTAAGAACTGATGGCAGGGGAGCAGTTGTGAAAGTTTCTAAAGTATAAATTGATAGATCATGTGTTTGGAATTTGTTGTAGTGAGTGTAGGTTGGGAAAGCAGAAATAAGATTCTTAATCCTCCATGAAGGGAACAGTATTGAACACCGGGATTACATTTGTATTATGTACGGTGCGTTCGTAGAAATTTTGTTACTGATTCGAGTAAATAATTTTCGAAGTTTACTCGATCTCGCTGAGAGCGCAGTATGCAGAGCTATACATAAACGCGGGCAGAACGATCCAACACTGTCGTCGGCAAACATCATCCTCGTCGTCCTAGACGTTTCTCTGCCTGGATATGCTGGATGTGTGCAGGAAGATAGAGAGAGAAAGATAGAACAAGAAAGCGAGAGAGTAAGAAGAGAGTAAGAGGGAGCGGGTGAGGGGGTGAGGGAGGACGAGAAGGAGGGGAGGGAACAGGCTCGACTGCTCCCCCTAATACTGCAGGATTGAATGGGCGAGGAGGGTGGTATTGGGTTCCCTCACCCCACTCCCACCACCCACACACCGCTCTAGCTCCCAACCCACCCGCACCACCCACTTCTGTCCGCCTGCCACCCCGCCTGCCCACCCACTCGCCACCCGACTGCCGTCGAGGAAACAACCTGCAACCGAACCAGCACAACGTTTCCTCGAACAACGAATTTCCTTCGGAGGCCAACCGGAGGGCCGTCTCTTCGCACCGCCAACGGGAAATCCGTGAGTAAAACCTATCGTCTCTGACACGCACACCGATCTTCTCGCTTTCTTCTTCTTCTTCTTCTTCTTCTTCTTCTTCGTCTTCTTCTCCAACGCGCGCGCTTCCAATTTTTCCCTTACACGGCCCCCCATACCATTCCGTCGTGTCTTTCTCTTCTTCTTCCCGTCCTTCTTTCATCCGGCCGCGTTCCACACAGTTGTAAAACCGATTCGATAACTCCGGGGATATTTCGTCCATCGTGTCCGATCGTTTCTCGCGTACAGTGCGTATACCCCGTAGTCGTGGCGATTCGAACGAGGCGAATCGGGCGGCGATCGATCGTGAGCGAGAGTGAGAGTGACGCGGCGTGACGGGAAACGGGAGAGAGGAAGAGAGAGGACGCGCGTATCGCGCGCATCGCGATAGCTCGAAGATTTCGGTGTGTAGGCGGAGGACTTTGTCCGAGCGTGTGGATCGCGGCTGAGAGTGGACGAGCGCGTACGTACGTCGCCGGCTCGCGCGCGAGTGGATCGCTGCACCGAGTCTCTCGCGTTCCGCGCGTCAGAGTGAAACCGCGTCGCATGTGCGTGCTCCGTTTCGCTGTGTCGCTTTCTCCTCGCGTGTGTTCGCGCGATCGTGCCACGACTCGAGACGGTGAACAATCACGGACCGATATGACGAGACCGAGCGGAGGCTGTTGGATCTCGGCGAGAATTCGGCCGAACACCACGCATTCACGGGCGGCCAGCTCGTCTTCCAGAGGGGAGCCGCGTCGCTATATATTTACAAATGGCTGTGTGCGTTACGCGCGCGTACAGAGAAGAAGCGTGCGCGCGCGCCGCCAAGATCCGCTCGCCGTCCTTGGTTAGTCGGTAATAATTTCCGGATGAATTTGAATGGCACACTGCGCGCGCGCCTTCTCTTCCCCGCCTGTTCCCTCCCTCCAATTTCTGTCCCCACCGCTTCCATCGTCGTCTTCCGTCTCGCTTGCTTTCGCACTTCCCCGAGGCGTCTCTCTCTCTCTCTCTCTCTTTCCCTTCCCCGACCCTTTTTTCTTTTTTTCCCCTCCGTTCTTCGTTCCCTCGAACATTGTGTGCACACCTCCCCCTGGTCTACCCACCCGCATCTCCCCTCCCGGTCGTGTTAGCTTTTCTTCGGAGGACAGCGGTGCTCAACCGGCGCAGAACAAGCACCCAGGGTGCACCCTCGCCATCTGTCGCCTCCGGGACGGTGTCCTCGATCGCTCCGGAGGAGAATATTGATTTATTCGTCGCCGGTTCTAACCCCTTCCACGTCACTCGCGAGAACGTTCTCGCCCACCACCTTCGCACGGCGCCTGTACGTGACCGTGCGTGTATGCACGTGTGCGTCTGCATGTCGCCTAGGGTTGCCAGTTTGCCACCCCTCGTCTTTCTCCACTTCGGTTTTCGGTCTCGGTCGCACTCGCTGCGAGTTTTCCGCTCGCGCAACGAGCAGAGCCGATCAATACACTGGCTCAGCCTCCTTCTACCTCGTTCCATCAACCGAAGACGAGAGCGGGTTAGGGGATCGAAATCGATCAATTTGTAAAACTTAGGGGCAAATTAAGTTCGATCCGCAACGCGCTCGATTTACTGGTTAATGAAGCAAGGTGAATGCACCGCGTTTATCACATCATTTGTCTTGTGTTAGACAGACCGGATAAAGTCTTTCAAGTTTTAATATTAATTAGAATGAAGGAATTTGTCTCATAACAGGCTTATTTTTTGTTAAAAGTTACTTCCGGAATCCTACTTAGGTTTAATAAGGATAAATTATTTTATTAGGCAATTTGTTTTTCAGTCGCTGAAAACATTTTTACTTCGGGTCATAAAACACCTATTACCCGGGCTTAATGTGTTCCTTAAAATTTCAATGACTCTGTTCGTGATATTGCTTGTTCCTTTACAACTGGAGCCGGTGAGGTGCCGCTCGTCTTTATGGTCGATCGCTTTCAAGGAATCCTAACCGACGCGATTGACGTTCTTCTTCTACCCCTTGTGTTTGAAGAAGGGTGACAAATGGAATTGGCACCGACCGATCAGTGTTCAGCTGATTACCTTCCGGGTTTTTGTTATCACTGAGTAATTACGTAATTTGTACCGACGTTTCCCCGTAACTGCGGGAATTTTTTATTAAAAAATTAAGATAAATCATTAACTTAATACAAATCGTAATTCTTCATTGTGACAAGTTTCTTTATATATTTATTCTTTAACGAAAAACTTCAAGTCTTCTGAAATGTGTTGATACAATGAATAATTTATGATTTTTCTAAGAGAGAATGAAGAATTGAAATGAGAATTTAAACGTGTTATGGTTTCAATGGTACGCGTTTAACTTGCTCCAGGCTTAACTGAAATCAATAGCACTTTTCATTTGAACGTCCAAATTGTAATACTGGGAGGTCTGAAGGCGGAAGGTTTCCCGCTTGATGAATAATTTAACGGCCTGTAACACAATCGACTGTGGATTTTTCAGGAGTCCGCCGCCAGGGAGAAAAGAGGAGTTAAGACTGCTCACGCTCGAGCGAATAGTAAAGTGGTCCTCTCGACATCGATCGAGTTTCTAGAGATCCTCGAGGTATACACGTTTGTAATTGCTCTCGGTTCCGTCGTACTTCATTATCACGATTCCTATTCAAAGGACACCGGGACACCCCCGAGTGCTTTCTCAATAATCTTCAATCCCTCTTTAATCTTCGTTCTCTGTTTCGTGCAAATTGATTTTGAATTTGACAAAAAACAGGTGAAGGGAATTAAACCAATTGGCGTTAGGCTCTAATTATTCTCATCCTCGGTGAGGTCGAAAGCTTTATTAAGACATTAAACGATTTCTCGAGTTGCACTTCTTACAAGTTCTCCATAAACATCCCGAAAGAAAAGAAATTAGGATAATGACAATTCTTATTTGTTTTATCAATCAGTTCTTTCCACTGAGAATCTCGAATGCGCGAAATAATTACTTTCTGTCAGTATTCTCTATTTCCGAGTAGGTTTAATTGAAGATCCGTAACGTCGATCAGTACCCTTAATCGGTCTGTAACAATCCCGATTCTAATTCTATTGCTCCATCCACCTCCAGGGAAACAGTGGAACTCGTTAACGCTTCCGATTCAGAGTTTCGCGTCGCCTACGAGTTCCTGTCATCAGGTTCGAACAGCCACGATTTCCGTGCACGTATTAACCCCGACCAGAATGTCTTTCACGAGCCTGAAATCACTATTACGCTACTATTGTCCCATTTATGTCCGATCATCGACAATAGCTTTGACCTAAAGCTTGATTAAATTTGTCACGTCACGACATTAGAAATCAAT